GGAAAAAACGANCNACAAACATATTAACGCCAAACATTCGGTAGAATTTATATATATATATATATATAATTTAATTAAATCAACTGATACGTATAATAACATGAATGTAAATAATACAAAATGGAATAAATCATCTGAAATAATATTATTTGACATATATGGATACATATGAAATAGTTTTAATATTCACTTATATAATTATTTTATTTTTGTGTCTATTTTTTCTATGCCTGAAATAAGTTTGTGTAAATATCGTGACTATAATCATCACCACCATCATCGTTGACTCTATAGTCTTCTTTATCATAAAAGAAGAGATCCCATCCAACCATGTGATCATCACATATAGGATGCAAAATATCATGTTACTATTTTATTATTCATCGTTATTATCATCCCTCTTGTAGCTTTCATTATCAGTTTCATCCTCACCGCCACGCCAGCACCATCATCATAAGTGATCTTCCTCATGTCTTAGGAGTGAGCGCAACATTATCGTTATTGTGATCCTCGATGGATAGTATGACGTCACCGGAAGTTCTCGTGACGTCATCGTTGTCGCCGTGACTGATATGGTCGTTGTCGTGGTGGTGGTGGATCTGGTTGGCGGCTTTCGACTTGCCATCGTCATCGTTGCGGGATGAGGAAGAAGCTGATGAAGATGTGGCGTCGAGGAGTGAATTTTTTTGACTGTACTTGAGGGAGGGATCGTTCTTTCTACTGATGTTCACCACGAAGTCACCACCTCCACCGGAACTTCTTCCCTGCGGATGTCTGCTCACCTCCCTCTCTTCGTCGTCGTCGTCATCATCCTCTTTATCTTCGTCGTCATCGTCGTCATCCGGATTTCTACTTTTATTGATTTCAAGTCTTTGTGGAACTGAATTACTGGAGCAGCAGCAGTAGTCGCACTGCGTTAACTTTTGAATGATGCACCACACGAGACCAGGAATGCAAATCAACATTCCAAATCCGATGAAGCCAGCCCCGATGATCATGGCCGAGCCTTTCGTGTGTGTGGCGGTCGCGACAGCCACAGGAACTGCTCCGACGACCATGAAGCCGATGCCGATGGCGACGACGATCAGTGGACCTCTGTAGTTATTGAGGAATCGACCGCAGGCGTGGTCGCATTGTGACTTGCAACAGGCGCAACAATCGTCTGAGTTGACTGAAGTGTTGTGAGCGTTCGATGTCGAGCAGCAGTTGCAGCAGTTGGAGTTGTTGTTGTTGTTGGTGGATGATGACGAGTTGTTGCTCGTATTGTCGTTGTGTCTCTCGAAACCGCTGTACGAAGGCATACTGCGTTCTCTTTGACTGTTCGTCTTACGGTGTTCTTGCGATGTACCAGAGCTAGATGTTGCCGAGGTGATTATCGTCTTCGTAAACGATGTAACTGTCGTTGTTGCAGCAGCAGTAGTAGTCGTAGCTGTAGTAGCTGGAGTGTCAGCAACGACTTCAACGCTACCAACCAATCAAATTTTTATTGATGATACGATATCAAATTGTTCCTGTTATCTGATGAAACGAATCTTTTAAAATCTGAAAATAGAACAAAAAACGATAATAAGCTTCGTTTGAGAATATAAATGCCAATCAGGTATCTAAATCAAAAATTCCACAAATGCTTCAAACTCTATTATTAGCAGCTCAAGAACAACAATTACCACAATACATCCAGTCCGTATATACGAACAATTCACTTAATAATTAAATACAAGGTCATGCTTTCCATCACTCACTGTGAAATAAATTATTCTTAAAAAAAAAAAACTCTAAAAAAATTATACAATGATCTAAAACATGTACTCATTCTCATGCCTTAAACTCAACTGTAGCACTTTTTATAGTACTCTGGCTACTTGACGATGGCCAGCTATGTATATGACCAGCTATGTATATGACCAGCTATGTATATGACCAGCTATGTATATGACCAGCTATGTATATGACCGACCATAGCCAATAAGTTAATAGTAAATCTCTTTTCTTCCTCTTCTTCTTCTTATTTATTCAGTTGAAAACTTTCCAAAACAGCCACAGGCCTGGATTTAATAAAAAAATATAATATAACGAATTACGTGTAAAACGTAAATTAATAATACATAAATCAAACTTGGAAATAGGTTGGAAATTATTTCTTAGAAAGAAAATTAATAAATTATCACTTCAAATAAACCTCCAATAGGAATTAAAGTTATTTTAAGACCAGTCGATATAAAATAAATAAATGAATAAAAACGATCTGTGTTGTCTTTGAGAAAAATATTGTTAATAATAATATTATTACAATTATTAAAAGAAATATTAGTAAACAAGAAAAACATAAAGAAAGACATTCTGAACTCTGGGAACATAAAATGATGGCATAGACGAAGATGATGATGATGGCAATGATGGTACAGTTAATTAATTTATTAATTAACAATTAATTATGCCGTTAATGTTTATGGTTTCAACAGCTTCAATTATCTCGGATGTGGATATCAAACGAAGGATAGCTATGGCGAAAGATGCATATTCTAGAATGAAAAACAACCTCACAAACAGTAAAATCAGAATATCAACAAAATTAAAACTGTTAGGGTGTCTCACGTTTTTCCTGTACTAACTTAAGGCTCTGAGTCCTGGACAATTTTTAAAGAAATGGAAAAAAAATAGCGCTGCTGAGATGTGATTTTTGAGAAGAACTATGAAAATTAGTTAGACCTCTCATTCTCATACTTCGAATGAGGTTGTATTAAAACAGCCCGGTTACGAAAAGAGGAAATTACTACAGATAATCCGACGGGGGCAGTTAAAGTTTTTTGGTCACATCATGCGGAAGGAAAGAATGGAAAATCTAACAACTACTGGAAAGATTGCAGGAAAAAGAGATCGCGGTCAACAACGAATCACATCCGTGAAGTCCTTGTGTCACTTGTTGAATATCACCACATTTCAACTCTTAAAAAGTGTTAAAGATCGGGTTTTGTGGAGGTCGATGGTTGCCAATGTCCCGAAAGGATAAGGCACGAGAAAGAAAAAGATACCGTTGATATTATTTTTTAAAAATAAATAAATAAGTTTTTCAAACGAAATTCAACTATGAGATGTAAGGATCGAAAAAAATAATTGCAAAATAATAGTAAAATCAACAATAACAATAAAAAAATAATATTATCTATAATAATAGTAATAATATTAACAAATATTATTATTACTACACACTTATAATAAAAATAAAAAAAGAAAATTTATATGAAAGAGAAACAAAATAAAAAGATGATGATGAAGATAAGGAGGATGAAAGAGAGAGAGAGAGAGAGAGAGAGAGAGAGAGAGAGAGAGAGAGAGAGAGAGAGAGAGAGAGAGAAATGATGATGTTTAGAACAAAAATATCATTGACCTAGTCAGACATGAAACAATAATAATAATAATAACAACAAAAATAATATAAATAATAAAAATAGCAATAAGTGCTATAAAAAAAGAAATCTACACAACAGAGAATTTTTTCAACAAGGGCAAACTAATGAGTGAGTAACGAATAAAGGAATGAACGAATAAATGAATGAAAATTGAATAATAATAAATAAATATATAACTAAATATATTTATAATAAATAAATATGGAGATTTATAACTAAAAATTAGGCAATAAAAACAGATGAAAGCTGGAACAATCAAGGCAATGATGGATTTATACATGCATACCTTCATTGCATACATACATACATACATGATACAAACATACATACATACATATATACATACATACATACATGATACAAACATACATACGTACATACATACATACATACGATATGACCTTTTATTTACTACAAAAAAATGAAGTCAGGATGACAGTGATGAAGCTCATGGAGAGCTCATCTAGCACAGTCACCTGAACTCAAATGTAAACAAATTAACGTTTGTCAAACAGAAAGTAATGAGAAATCTGATTTAAATAAAACAGCATCTCTCTTTTTTACAGATTTCTTCTCTCATTAAAATTTAACAAAAGCAACTTCTAATTCTTTTTGATCATAGCAAGTGACGTTTCATTACAGGAGAAAACATTTTTTAAAATGTAAAATGTCATTCCAAGTCTTGGTCCTCTAAAGACGACATGAGAGTGCAACAAATTTGTTCTCGAATTGTTGGTCATCAGATAATAATTGACAGACACTTCTAGGATTGTTGACTATTTTAAAATATTCGTCAAATGTTGGAGGTAGCTTTTTGAAAGTTGCTTGCGGACAAAAATGGCTGCGAAACATTTACCGATCTTACCAAAATTTAAATTATTAGTGGAGAAGAAAAGTTGACTTGAAAGGATGAGTTGTTTAAGACTTGTAAGGGTGAGGTGTTTAGATAGCGTTATAACCCCAACTGCCTGCTTCATCAGAGTTTTTATTGAATTTGTAGTTGAAGGATAAGCTCCAGCCCACACAACGTTATAATAATTTACGTAAGGTGCCGAGATAGCATTATAAAGGAAATTTTTTTGGAAGGAGGAATTGTATTTTATTAATTATGCCTATTGATTGAGCCAATTTGCTGAATATGCGCTTTGAAAGTTATCTAAAAACACTCCAAGGAATGTAACTGTTTTACTTTCTAAGATTCCATACATACATACATACAAACGTACACATACAAACATACATACAAACATGCATACATACAAACATGCATTCAAACGTACATAAATACATACATACAGACGTACATACAAACATACATACATAGGTACAAACAAACATACACACTTGCGCTGTTTATGCGCGCTTGAATCTGTTTAGTTCTTGTTCAACAACGGTTTAACATATACATAATATGTATGTGAAACTTTCAGAATTGATGCACGCAATGATATAGTAGAAGTGCATTAAATGTAGAAATAAATCCAATCTAAAACCATCAAAAACATGGTGATAAATAACAACGATAATAATAATCTTTCTATACTGATAAGAAGATAATGATAAAAATAATTTCGTAGAAACGTCAAAGCACACGCACACCACACACACACACACACACACACACACACACACACACAGGTACACGAACGCACAAACATACACAGACGCACATATATAAATACGTACATACAAAAAAAATTATGAGTGTGTGAAGATTTAAGAAATATAAATTTATAATAATATAGACAGAACTTGTAGGATAATTAGAGGATGATAATTAGAAATGAAAAAAAACTACAAACTGATAGAAAACCAACAGCTGCCTTTTAAAATAAGGCCACCGATAATGATGATGATGAGGACTAACTAAGAAGATAAAAGTGATGATAAATGAAATGATCTGATAACATCTAAAAATAAAACTATGCAACGCTGTTGCTAGAACCTGCTGCGTTGCATTTGCATATACACCAGTGACTAACACTAACGCTAACCAACAACACATCGTAGCATTAGCACAAAACTCAAAATCGTCATCATCATCATCATTATTTATCAGTGTCGTCATCATTATCGAAATCTACATCATCATTATCAACGTCATCATCGTTAACAACATCACTCCACAACCATCATCTTCATTTGTGATTAACTACTGCTAATCAAATTATTTTTATTTCAGATTTAAGAAAAAAATGGAAAGAACTTTAAAATGGAAACCTAAAAAATGGAGATAGGAGTGAGTGACAAAGGACAGCATCATTTGATGATAGATTATAAAACAACGAGGACAACAACCATCACGAATTAATGACAACTGACTTGACGTTGATGATAACATGCCATAAGAACATCTCAATTAGGAAAAACAAACCAAAAACAAAACAATAACATGACAAAAATATAAAAAACATTAAAAAAAACAAAAACAACTCAAACAACAACTAAAGCCAAATTATCTCCAACAACCACACTCTGACAACATCCAGACAAGACAATCGTTTAAAAAGTTAAACCAGACATCCAATCAATAGTAACCAGAAAGCCAAGCATACAGTCAAACAGACAGAGCAAACATACGAACATACATACGCGTATTTACATACACAAACATAAATGTTTAAAAAAACAAACATGCAAAGACACCAATCTAACTCATAAATACATATCTATACAACACAAATACAAAACACAAACATATAGTAGTATCACGAAATAAATACATATGCAAAACAGCATTCAGACACAATTGTACTTAACACACGTATACAAAGGCAAACATACTAATATACCATAAACTAACACAGACACACACACACAAACACACACGCAAACATGCGAGCACGCAAACAAACGAACATAGATAATTTCATTTCATTTAGCCAGAGCTAAACGTGTTTCATTCAATTTGCATGTTGTTTACAGCCGGTCATTATACAAGTCTCATCTATCTCATCCATAGATCAATGGGTGATTGCATAGCTTCCAAACATTATCACCATCAGTTACATCCTCATCATCATCGTAGTCTTCGTCATCCTCTCAAATATAACTATACATAGCCCGTGTAGTTGGCATTATATTGATACAATAATCTTCTTAAGTGCCCAATCTAGGATAAGCAAACACACACACACACACACACACACAGATGTAGAAACAAATAAACGAGTTGGAACAAGCAAGCAGTTAAAGTTAATATACAAATGACGTTCATATACAATTTTTAAGATTCAACCAAAGTTTCAAGTATATAGTCATAAACCTAATGAGAATGACAGCCAAGTTTGAAGAGTATGGTGCACGTACAAACAAA